ATATATATATAATTTAAAAATGGTTTAAAACATGATATAAATGTTATAAAGAAAAATATATGGTGTAAAATATTTATTTATTATTAATACAAAATATTTTTATTATTTTTTAATCCCAAGATTACTTGTATGGGTCTAGTATAGAGCTTGAAAAATATGCTTATACTTTTTTTTATATTTTATTATATGTATGTTATGCATTTTAAGCCCAAGAGAAGCTGCCAATTTTACAAGTGTAGGCAAAATAATCAATAAAAAATGCACAAATATAATACTACATAATACATGTTGTAGCCTATTGTAACATTTTAAGCCCAGCCTGAATAATTTACTTATTTTATTATTTCAAATGTAGGCTTAGCATACAGTTTTAAAATGCTTTGAAATTAAAATAAAAAATATATATATATATTTATATATTGTCTTTTGTTTTATTATCCGTTATATTTTCCTTATGTATATTATAAATTACTTACATTTTATCTATCCATCTATCTATCTATCTATCTATCTATCTATCTATCTATCTATCTATCTATCTATCTATCTATCTATCTATCCATTTTTAAACCCAAGAGAAGCTGACTAATTTACATGTGTAGGAAAAATAATTAATTAAAAAAAAGAAGTATTAAAATGATCTTGTTTTATACATTTGTAAAATGCCAAATCATATCATGGATGTTACTCATATGCTGTATATTTTGATATTTTGTAGTTTGCCGGTCAAACAAAAGCCCGTGGGTTTGCCTGACATGTTTGAACGTGCATTGTGGAAGGCGAGTGCTTAAATTGATATTTTTTTAGTCTATGTGGTTTTGTTTCTTTATATATGACTTACAGTAAATATTACATGTAAATTCATAGTTCCTTGATTGTTTAGAATTATGTTTAAGCTGTATTAAAATATTAAAATGTACAAAATATAAAAATTGTTTTAGTAGATAAAAGTGTTCATCTATAATTATTAAAATATTAAATTTCACACATTAAAATGACCTTGCATCTGTTTCTTTCTGTTTCTGACCTTTACATACCTGTTTCCTGTGGCAGGTATGTAAACGGCCATGCAAAAAAGCATTTCGAGGAGATTCAGGCACCAGGAGGCGGTCAAAGGAAGCCAGAGCGAGAAAAGTCCAGTGAGAAGAGTCAGCAGCACTCTGTGTGTATGGACTGTAACAGTTATAGCACATTCTGGTTAGTTTCTTCCCTATTTTTCTTTCCAGAAATATTTTTAAATGGACAGTAGTAAGATGAGTGTACTGTAAGGACAGTACATACAGTATTTTTCAGTGAACAGTGTTATGTTTTTTTTTTTACCTTCATGCCATTTTCTTTCCTGTAGTTACAGATGTGATGAATTTGTGGTGAACGACACAAAACTAGGGCATGTGCAGAGGGTCAGAGAACATCTGCAGAGTTTGGAAAAGTACGTCTGGTATTTGTCGATGTGTATCTATCCATTTATCAATCATCATCACTTAAATACATGGATTATATTATTGTTTTTGAACTGATTTATTCTCTTTTTTTCAGCTCTGTGTCTAATACTGACAGACAGAGGAAGAGAAAACTGTCAGACAGTTCCTCTCCTGACAGCAAGCTGAAGAAAGACAGCGTGAGTTTAATTGGATTTTAGATAAGCGTGTAAAAGACCCTGGTGTGCTAAGATATGGTTCAGAA